CAAAAATTAAAATATATACAATGTAATTTTTTAGACAACTGCGAACTACCTAAAATCCGTAAAAAAGGGCCAAACTTTATTTTTTTGGGTTAATTGCAAGTTTGGTCACTGGAATTACTTACAAAGTTTACATTTGCCACTAAAATTAATTTATTTAATCCGTAGTCACTAAAATTATTTCAACAGTTTATGTTTGGTTACTCTTCGTTAGTCTCTGTTAAATTTTTCTGATGTGGCAGTCAACTCTGATAGTTGACCGTTAAATTAGTGATGTGATAGATAAAAAATAATTAAAAATAAAAATAATATTTTAAATTTCCACCTCAGTTTAACAATAAAAATTAATTATAATCCTTTTAATTATAATCACCAGCCACCGGACCGGAAAATCCAAAGATTCTCGTCGCCCCTCCTCTGCTGCCGTCAAACCCTCGAGCAAAGATGGGGAAGAAGAATAGCGACCGCCACTAGTTCTCGAGCAAGTACAAGCCTTGAGAGGCAGAGGTTGACACGACCGAGAGGAGAACTGCTGTGGTCGTCAGAGAGGAGAATCGCAGGCAAGGAGCTGGAATCAGTGGCGGTCCCATAAATTATACCAAGGGTATTTAAAAAAAAATCATAAAGCACTTCGATTCATCATGTTTACAACGAGGCACTACGTATTTTCATATTTTGAAAAGTTTTTTTTATAATACATTCAACACTTATATTGTGACTCACACTTTTTTCAATGAATGTAACCAGACAATCATTCATAAAATGTTCCCTCATCCGATTTCGAAGGTCGTTCTTGACGAGTTTCACTATTGTAAATGCACTTTAAACGCTTGCAGTTGCAATATGTAAATTCAACAGGTATACCAAAAATAATAATTATTCTCAAAAGAGGACAAAAAAAAAACTTAATTAATAATTTATAGTCTATAGACTTGGAATCCACATGATTTAATATGTTCAGGAATTAATTTGGTACTTATATATTTGCTTTGTATTCCAATAACAACAATTGGGTATGGCTTAATGGAAATTTCACATTGCAATCTGCAAGGATTGTCAAATTGGAGAGGTTTCAAATCCTAGCATAAATCTGTCTTAATTTTTATATATTTTGACTTGACCCAACCCTTAAATTAAGGTTTGTCAATTGACAACCCTTAAGAAAGAGTAGGTCTGCTCCTTACTGGAATCAATGGGAAGACAGCAACAAATAGAGAGTCGAAGGGGAATGATCTAAATTTCCTCCAGGGCTCGAGGGTTTGACGGCAACGGAGAAGGAGTGGTGAACGAATTTTTTTGGATTTTTCGGGCCGGTGGCTGGTGATTATAATTATTTTATATTTTTATTGTTAAACTCAGGTGGAAATTAAAGAAATTATATTATTTTTAAAATTATTTTTTATCTGCCACGTCACTAATTTAACGGTCAACTGTTCGAGTTGACTGCCACATTAGAAAAAATTAACGGAGAGTGACCATACTTGAACTGTTGAACTAATGAAAGTGATTACGAATAAAATAAATTAATTTTAGTGACAAACATAAACTTTTTAAGTAATTCTAGTGATCAGACTTGCAATTTACCCTTATCTACAGATTACTATAAAGGAATGTCAATATATTGCATTCTCCACGTCAGCCCCTCCTTGATTTGCCGCAGACTTCGGAGGGACAAATCAGTCAATTTGTTTGCTATTTTTCCACTCGCTCTCTGCCTCCCGAAACGCCTCCGGAGTTCCCCTTCTAAACCCACCGCCCACTTCACCTTTTCTTTCCGACTGGGAAAATGAGAATGGAATAGCATTTTCAATCTTGGTAACTTCATATTTCTCTTTGCTGCCTACAGATATAAGTCCGTTTCTTGAAAAACTATTACAATTTCAGTAAGAGAGGTGGCTCTCTATCTCTCTTCGACTCTTCCTCTCCTATCCCTATCCGTGTCCGATGTTGTTTCTCGCCGAGTCTAAAACCCCAACAGCATTTGTGCTCCCCAAGGTAACAATTCTCAGGATTAAAATATTTGATTATGCTGGCTTGGTTGTTCGGGAGGCTCTCTCCCTCGCCGTCTCTCTGTTCCATCCCTTGCTGCTACTGTGTCTTGCTGACTTTGTTATCTCGACAGCAGCTGTACCCCAGATTATTGATGGATTTTGCTGGAATTGTTCGGTTCCCTTTTCTATCCAATCTTCGATTCTATTTCCGGCGCCGAATTGCTATGGGTTTCGGTAGTTGTTACAGCCCTTGGAGTTACATCAATTCAACTTGATGTCTCTGAGAGTAGGGGTGGATTCGGCACCACATGTGATGTAATACACGACCAGAAAGTGGCTGGGGAATGCTTGAAAATTTATTCAGTAATGTGTTCATTATTTAATTGTGATAATAATGTGATGCTACTTCACTTCCCTGGATTATAATGTAATTGTGCTTCCATTCGTGGCTATGCAACAACTGGCGACTGCAAAGGGTGCATTATTTTTTTTTTTATGGTCGAGCATCTCTCTCTTGCATCGGCTATGTAATCTTGAGCATCCCAATTTGAGCCTACACCGATTCAAAAAAGCTCTGACAACAGTAAGCCATGAAACCACTATCCCTATCAGCATTTGGACTACCTCATGTTTCCCAGAATCTAATGATTCCGAAGATTTTGTTGCTGGGTTTCAGGTATGCCAACTTTTAGATGAACGAATTCCATATTTGTACATTCCACAATTGCTCAAAGATTACATAGAACATCATACTATCTGAAGCCATAGCACTTGCATTTAAACCATCTTAGTCAAATTGAATATATTTCGCTCGGTGTAAAGTAATAGTTATCGATTAATTCCCAACAAACTCTTTCGTACTCAAATCTATTTCGTTTTAACATGACATCATTTCCATTTTTAATTGGGACAAGTTTAAGCTTTTTATTTGTCTTAGTTAGGTGAGCCTGAGCTTCATCACCCCTCCAGACATGATCATTGATGGGAATGGCCCTAACACCAAAACTAGGTCTTACGATGACCAGAATGATAATGAGAGTGCTAGAAATGGATGTGATGAGGTTTGATATTGGTCCTTTGTTGCTTCATTGAGTTTTGATATGGAGTCTTCATATTCGATTGGAATGGAGTGTACACACCGGCCCCTTCTGTTCCTTTTGAAGATGTGCAGGGTAGTAGTCTTTCTAAATAGAGATGAGACATTAGAAGTCTGTTTTTGTTGTGTTTAGTGTCTTTTATAACTGTTTATTTATTTAATAAAATCACACCACCATTACAAAAAAAAAAAAAAAACTGAAACATTCATAGCTCAAGTACTTAGCTTATGTGCTCTCATATAATAATTGTTTGAAACCAATATGTTGTGGGCTACATTTATCTTACTCCATGTTACTATCTCCTCTACAGATCCCACTTAAGTTACATGTTTAAAAAATGCATCATGTCAGTTTCTAACATCTAAATGAGGGGAATCAGATGAGGTGATAACAAAATATGAGAAGCTCCCCAAGCCACCAGCAACATACCACTGTGCTAAAAGTTGTTGCAGAATCTATAAATCAATCTAACATGCTTTGATTGTAGCAACAATTGATTGAGACACCAAGTCTTGAGAACCTTGGTGGGACAATCTTAACAGAGTTGAAAAGGAAACACGTGTTGTCGACTGTGACCCTGAGGAGGGGAAGTAGTATTGCCAAAAACTATGTAGTTAAGGACCACTATGTGAAGCTTCAATTTAATATTCTGTTTTCATCTATTTGAAGTTTAGTATTATGTTAGGAAATGTCTATTTTTTTATTCAAACCTTCTTCAGATTTTTTTTATATTATCCAAACTTATTAAAATGCTATTAATTAGCCAAATCTTTCATAATGCATCAAAATATTAGCCATTTTTACGTTATTGTTAATAATTTTGTAACCCTTTTCTTAGTTAAAATACTAAAATTTTGAGATGTTGACCTTCATGTGTCTTTTCCAAGTCAGTATCATGTTGCCAAATCAATATTACTAACAAAATTGCTAACTGAAAGTTAACATTTGGCTAATTCTTAGTATTTCGATAGGTTTGGCTAATAAATTGTCATTACCCTGTTATGTTTCATTGAGGTCGATATTGAAAGTTTGTTTTAGGTCTTTCCTTATGGATTGTCTTCTTTTGTTCAGTTTCATTTGTGAAATACAATGCGGGATTTTTCCTTTAATTATTTTCTCATACGTTGGATAGCTTTACCCTTATGTATTGTCTTTTTTGTTTCTCAAGTTTGGTTCATAACTGCTAAATCAATCTCAAGGTTAGTCAAGTTTGAATGTAGCTCTGTTTGTTATGAATGAAATCCACTTGCAAGGTTTTGCTGTATTTTTTATATGATCTGATTGCTGGTGTTTTCTTTCTTTCTTGCCTGTTGAGGCGTTAGCTATTTGCTTATAAATTTGAAGGATTCGAATTGATAAGTAGAATGAATGTTTTTGTCAAAAGATAATGCTCTTATATAGGTGTTATTTGTGTTGTTTTCCATGGAATAAAATCTCACAAACTACCGATTTTTGTAATAAACATAAGAGAAAGATTTGGCTAAGCATAATCATTTGCTACATATTCTACTATTTAATCTTTTATATGTTCTTCAAATAGTATAAAATAAAATTCATGGATAGGTTTTATACGACACCGGCCAACGGGCCGGGCGCAATGCTAGTTTTTATTAATTCGATGCTGGAGAAACAGTGAAACACAGCTTACTACTGCAGGAAGAAAGAACGCGCGCACAGCGTGAAAACACGCAACTCTAACACTACACTAGGCGACAAGTAAGCCCAGAGAAAGCCCCAAATCCTACAGCATGGAGATTAATTAATTAAACGCTTCTACGCTAATCTTCTCTCAAGGCAGGCAGGCAGGCCCAGTCCATGGACAGAATCCTCATCGCTCTTTATTCTTGCATCAAATCGTAAACCCCTACCACCACGTCATCTGAATAAGAGATGGCCGTTTATCAATGACGGCAGATCACCAACGGGAGAATCGGCGGGCCGGGAGGGCACGGCGTCCGCCAAGTGCTGCAGCAGAGCGGTGAGCGGTGGGCCGGGCCTGCAGCTTACTGCTATGAACCTTCTGGCGGATCAGGGTCTGGCCCGTGGGAGCGTTCCTGTTGAGGAAGTTGGTGTACCAGCAGGCCGAGCTCTTCGGGTAGCGGGTCAGATGGCCGTCGGTGTAGTCGATGTAATAGAACCCGAACCGGACCGAGTAGCCGTCGTTCCACTCGTAGTTGTCCGCAAACGACCACGCGAAGAATCCCGACACGTTCACGTTGTACCCGCTGCACATATGATTATATTCAAGTGAACACAACCGCAAGCCACGATCGAATTAGTTCCCGATCATTATTAATAATAATTATCAGGAAAATTATGTGCTAAAGATTAAAACTGACGTCATGGACTGGAGGACACTGTCGAGGTGGCTGTCATAGAACTGTATCCTGGTGTCGTCTTGTGTCGCTTCCTCGATTGTTTGTGTGGGATCGTCCTCTTGAGAAAGTCCTGATGAATTGAATGATCAGAAACACAATAATAAATCAAATCAGCTTAATGACCCTTCTAAGAAACTGTTTATATTTAAACTAAGAGTTAATTAACTGGCAGATTACCATTTTCGGTGATGTAAATATGAGGATTTCTGTATTCATCTTTGGTGTAGTTCAAAAGATATTGAAGCCCTTGTGGGTACAGGTACTGCCAGGACGAACCCAACTGCACAAATTTTGTCATCATCAAACAATTTTCATCATACTAGCTAGTTCACAAATTAAAGCCATGTAGTTTTACCAATTGATTGATTGATGTTTTTGCTTATTTACCTGTGGTCCAATGAGTTTTCCATCGGCCCCAGTCGCTGTTCATAAAACAATGAAATCATCAACGAGTTAATTAGTAGAGTTGTATGTATATATGTGTTGGTAGCCGCAATCAATCCATCCAACAACACCGCAAAAGTTTTCACTGCGAAACAATATGCCAACTCACAAGGCCACCAAACCTGAAGCATGCATATATATATATATATAACTGAATAAACTACCTGTAGTTATGGCGTGGGAATCCTTGAGATACTCGAGATGTTCAGGGTCGAAGGCAGGATTGTTCATGGAGTAATACGCTGTGTAATAGTTAAGCCCCAGAAAATCGTACGACCCTCTCAACGATGCGGAGTCCTCATCATTGAAGGTGGGCAAACGAGTTCCGACGAGGTCAACCATGTTCTGCGGATAGCGACCATAGGTTATGGGATCCATGTACCTGTATACGCGATTCATTTAAAACGAGTTAATTTACTATATATATATAACGTTGGTTAATATTCCAGTTTACGGCGATAGGTTAGAGAAAATAATACTCACCACCCGAACATAAAGTCTAGGGATCTCTTAGCTGCATCTCTATCCGCTGGGGTATCGGTGTAAGGAACGAACCAGAAAGTAACAATGGTGATTCCCACTTCCCCTCCTTGACTTGCCTATTAAAAAAAAAAAACAACCAACCATTGTTAGGAAAAATATACACGACTGATTACTTAATTAATGACTATAGAGATTACATTAATTAATGTAGGTTCTATATATGCTGCGAATTAATAACCTTGTATTTCTGCTCGTACAATCGATAACCTGCAGCATGAGCGAGAAGGAGATTGTGGGTGACGATGTAAGGCTCGGTCCCGGAGTTTCCAGCGAGACATGCTCGGTTAACCCACACCGAGCAACGCCCCGGTGCCATCAGCCCTTCGTCGTAGCCTCTCATCACGTAAGTCACCGGTTCATTCAGCGTTATCCATTTCGTTACCTTTTTACCGTATTCTTCGAATAACAGGTCACAATAATCTTCAAAATCCTTCCTACATAATTATATAACACAACATGAAACGATTGATCAGTATTAAAGTGGACATAACGGACTTAGATTTTATATATATCCCCTCGTCACTTACACAATGTTAGAGCTTAAGAAGCCACCGTACTCGGCTTCGAGCGCCTGAGGGGTATCCCAATGCCATATTGTGACGTAAGGCTCGATACCTAAAATCAATTATTGTAACATACACACACAAATACGCATTATATTAGAATTTCATTAATTTAATTTCCAATTTGATTTTATATATATTAGTTTTTTTTAGCAAGCCAAAAATCTTCACCATTTTCTAGGAGCAAATCAATAATCGTGTGATAAAATTGGATTCCTTTGCGGTTCACCCCTGTGCTCCGTTTCCCGTCTGATATCAAAATTTTAAAATTGTCACCACATGAATTAGATAAATTAGCTTGAAGAAAAAACATCAGATTAATAGAGATATATATATGTGGAGATAACTACTGACATGGGATAACCCGAGACCAGGAGATGGAGAGCCTGTAAGCATCCACATTCATATACTTCATTCTTTGTATATCCTCCTGTACGTATTAGTTAGTTTCGTAAGTACCGATCGAGTATAAATACACATCAAATACGTACGTACGTATTTGCACTGCATAAATAAGTAGACTTAATTAATACCCGAAACAGGTTATACATATCAATGGCCTCATCTCCATTACTTCCATCAGCAATTCTCTCTGCACGAAACGGAATCGTTAACGATATACCACGATATGATATACAGGAAAAGATGAACAAGTAGCTAGCTATAGAGATGGACCTGGGAATTCATGGGCGAATTTGTCCCATACGCTTGGCCCCCTGCAACTCGTGTTGGCGGCACCTTCGACCTTTGATTCACCAAACGAATTACACGATTTGTTATTGCCAAGGAAATTTAGTAACTCGGAACAGATTAATTAATAGTTAGCTAGGTAGCTTAGCTTTACCTGATAAGCAGAAGTGGCAGTGCCAAAGACGAAGCCAGGAGGGAAATCGTTGCGGCCATTGAGGAGGCCGGTGCCTGTAGGAGGGTGGTCATAGCCCGCGCAAGGGTCAGGAATCTGCGCCGTGGCACGAGCCAGAAGTAGGGTTATCGAGATCAGGACAGAAAGAGCTGGAAACCCTCGAAAACGAGCCATGTCTTTGGGCCAAGCAGAAAGTAACAATTAGGATGGAGAAATATATATGTGGAACTCCAACTGGCTAAGCTGAGTAGTAGTAGTAGTGTGGGTTTAATTAAGACCTTTGGGGCAGCCCTCTTTATATAGATAAGATACCTGCAGGCCATAGGTGGCTTCTGCAGATTGCTGTTTGTTTTAATCAATTTTTTTTCTTACTGATTTACTGGTATAATACAGCCAACATGATGGATACATAGATATAGATTAATGTTTTACAGTCTGCTATATCGGTTTTTATGGATCTACATTATTTGATAGTAAACAAGTATTTACTACTGTAATATTCTCATCGAGATCTACCCATGAAGGGGGGTTTTTGTTTCCCCCTCTCTAATTAACGAGTAGATTCTCACAGAATTTGTATTTTTTTTTTTCAAACTGAACTAGAAGGAACATTTGCATTTGCATTTGTTTCATTGCAGACCTTTGTTTTTCCGCTCTTGCATTTCGTAAGCTACCTCATACGGCCAATCTGAAGATTGATGGTATCACAACTGAGGTTCTTTGGCTCACATGTCTAACTTGGAGACCAGGTTCGCTTTTGCTGCTGCTTGAAAGAGAGCCCTATACGACGCCATTGCTCCACTTAATAATCACTTAATCGTTCATTTTAATTTGTTTCAGTTGCATATTAATTACAAAGTGTTTATTTTCTATTGGTCCTTTACTGTAGTTAGATAGTGTTAATATTTTTTTTTTTGACAAAAGATAATCTTCATTAATCAAAACAAATGAAAGTTACATCCTGGCCAGAAGCCAGGCCTGAAAATCAAAGTTACGACTCGCAGTCGGGTACAAAGAAAGGGCCTTACGAGCCACCAAATGGGCTACCCTATTGCTACGCCGACCTACAAATCTAACACTAAACCCTGAGCGACCCGCCAAGTGATGAATAATTTCCGCAAGAATAGCACCAATCCGACTATCACTAGCATCCGCCTGGTTGATTTTATCAATAATAACCTTAGCATCCCCTTCCAGACATACCTCCATGATACCCCGATTCAGGCACCAGACAACAGCCTCTCGGAGCACCAGCACTTCAACTACCATGGGATCATCAATGCCCGAGAACTGAACCCCACCAGCCATCAGGACCTCTCTCGCCGGGGTCATAAGAACAATCCCCCCCCGCAGAGTGGGACCCCCTCCTCGTAGCCCCATCCCACATACAAACCAGCTTATCCGCCTCTCCCAACACCGGTTGAGGTGGGGGAAGGATAAAGGAGAGAGACTGCCGATCCACAGGCAGCCCTACCCACTCCTCAACCTGCTGATTGTACTGACGCATCAGAGCAGGGATCCCAAACTGCTTGCCCTCAAATACTACCCAGTTCCGAGAACACCATATCCTCCAGAGGATAGCAACAACCGCCATGAGAACTGATGGCTGATTAATCAGAGACATTAACCTCTTCAGGAACAGGGGAAAGGTTTGACGAGGAAACCCTTCTCCCAGGGAATGAAGCTCCGAATAGTCCCAGAGTGCTCGAGCCACCGGGCAAGAGAGGAACAAATGTTCTAAGGTCTCGGACTCCTCCCAGCAGACCGGACACCTAGGTAAAACCTGGACACCTTTGTCAATCAGAGCTTCCGTCGTTGGGAGAATGCGATTCAGGATTTGCCAAACAAACACCTTCAACTTGGGCGGCAAATTAGCCTCCCCACCGTAGTTAACAGCGATTCTTCGCCTCCTACATCGGACGGGGGTGGGAGCCAAAATCGCCATCCTTTCAAAGGTATATGTCTAGCTCGTTTCGAGCGCAGAACAAAAGAGGGACCAATCTCCTCCTTCAACTCGTCTCTCTTCCTTTTAGGTAAAGATCCCCGAACACCGGTGACAGTCCCATTAGGGTACTGTTGATAAGCAGCTTTGCTGACCAAGAACACCGGCAATCTTCTTTCATATTGGTTGATACCCGGTCTGCCGGACGATTCCGGCGTAGCAAATCCTCGACCTCTGTCACTTTTCTGATTCCTCAAACTGGCGGCGAAGAGACTTGAGCATATTTGCAGAAGACGTTCACCTAGCCAAAGCGAAAACTCAAGGAGAGAGGAGAGAGCTCCTCGCATGAATTTTCTCTCTCGTTAGAACCTGAAGTTGGTTATTGTTGCCAAACAAATTACAAATTAGTTACTGTTTAACAAATTACAAATTAGTCACTATAATGTATATTTTACATTTTGATACCCCAAATTTAATTTTAATGTAAATCGATTGAAAAATTATTGTTTGGTACCTAAATTTTATGAGGTTTTCGTAATTACAATTTTTTAAATTTACATATTGGTCAAATATTTAGATTTCACTTGAATACATGAATCCAATCCACCAGTCCTTTTGAACCAATCCATGAATCCAATCCACCATAACATAAATGTATAAATTTAGTTTGTATCATATAATAAGGTTGGAGGAATCGTTATTTCTTATGTATCAATCAAATATACGTGTTAAATAAGTCACCCGTAATAATAAGACACTACGTAAAGTTTATGTAAGTGACTTAATTGAACTATCTTGTGAATAATTTTATTTCAACTAAATCATTAAATGAGTAAATGATATTTTGTCAAAAAAAAAAAAGAAGTTGATTACTGACTCGCTCAAAACTACCCCGCGAATTATATACGACTAGAGCCCAAAATTTTAAACTCTAGCCGGGTGCAGTATAGGGCAAGTATTTAATTGTCAAACCTGGGGCGGTCCATGTACCCCTAGTGATGGCAATGGGGCGGGGCGGGGCGGGTACGTACCTCAATTCTCATGCCCCGCCCACGCTACTACGGGTCGGGGCGGGTAAAACCCGCGCGGGTACGGGGTGGGGTGAGTCGACCCACTCTTACATGTTGTTCAAAAAAAATACAAGTAAATTTTACTTTTTACAATAAAACGTAGGGGAAAACACTTTAAGAATGAAAAATATTGATAATAGAATGGATAATTGAGTCTAACAAGTTGAAAGATCGATTCTAACTAGTTGAAGAAAAGTCAAAATAGGAGAAATATGTATAGATATTGTAATAAATTGAGATAAAATGAGTCTAGAATGGGGCGGGGCATGGCGGATCGGAAGTAGATATCCATGCCCTGCCCCACGCTACTGCGGGTCGGGTAATACCCGCCCCATCGAGGGTCAGGTCGGGTAATACCCGCGGAGCGGGTTGAAATGGCCATCACTATGTACCCCTACTTCAATCGCTTAAGTTGTTATCTAGCAAAACAGTTTTGGATTTAAAACTAAGAAAACTACAAACTAAACAAGCAATGAAAGTAAATGGAGGAGAATTCTACTCAAGAGGACTTAACCCGGGTATTGCTCTCTCTAGTCTCATGCTAAGAAGCGACAAACAAAAGTTCAAGAACCAGCTGCTGGTCAACCATGGGAGACGAAGAGTCAAGGGGTCTGGGAGCCAGAGAATCGAACTTTGCTCGGGAGAGAGATCCGGAGTGGGAAAGGTATTGGGGGAGGGATGCTTATTCTTTTTGCAGGTCTGAAGCGGAGGAGTTGTCGATCGGCAGCGGCGAAGCGAGAGGGGAGTGCAGACGTCAGGTTCTCTTGGGATCAAAGGTCGTGTCAGTACGCAAAGAATGGAGATTCAGGCAGATGCAATATAGACTTCAGACAGAGGAAGGAGGCAAGAAATGGTTCGTGGTGCTCGATTACGAGCTCATATCTTGGCTCCAAGGATGTTTACAGACAGCTGCGATGAAGGAGTGGTTATTCCCAAAGTATTGCGTTAAGAAAAGCGGTTCGCGTTCTATTCATATTGGCAGAGGAAGTAACCGTCGGGGAATGTTCTTACAGATTTCAGAGCAATCCAGGAGGAACAGATACTTCAAAATCATTATCCCTGCATCAGGAGGCGGATGGGCGCCGTTGACAAGATTACTTCAGGATTTTTACACATACGAGCTTCTCTCGAGGATTCCTCTCTCAAGAGCAGTAGCTCAATCCGAAATTCCGTTGCCTTCATCTTCAGGGGACAGGAGTTTGAAACTTTGTAGCAAGTCTTACGCCGAAGCAGTTAAAGGTACTGGGTTTTATGGAGCAGGATCGTGCAAGATTATTAGAAAAGGTAATCAGAAGTTCATTGACATAGGAACTGATGGTGTGGTCGAGAGAAGAAATTTGTTGGGAAGATGCCTGGTACTTGTCTCGAAAGCCTTCAGGTCGGACAACATCGTTATCTTCAAGCAGTGGGCGATAAAGAACTGGGCTATCGACCATAACTTTGTCATCGAGGATAGAGCAGATGGAAGTTGGTTCTTAATTTGTCCAAGCGTGAAGGAAGCAATTAGGATCCAGAAGCTTAACCACCTGAAGTTCAAAGGAGAAATGATTCATATTTCTGCATGGAATGAGAGTGAAGGTTTCTGTTCTGCGGAGGATTCTTGGATCTTCGCATTCAACATTCCACTGCATATTAAGAGTGTGGATCTTCTGAAAACAATAGGGGATTTCTGTGGATCATTCAAGGAAATTGATTGGAATTATTGGTGTCTTCCGTTCGTCAGGATAAGAATTCATAAATCACATCCTATTCCGGAGAACGTTGAGCTTCGTTTTGGTTCTCAATCTTATTACATAAAAATCGTGGAACAGCCAGCGGTGAGTCAACGAATCAGGCGTGATCAGACGAACGGGAAGCCGGAGCGTTTTTCCTCGGTGGTCACAACGCCGTCTGAAAATTCTAGAAGGTTGAACACGCATGCTGAAAGTGGCGACGTGGGTATGGCGACTCTTTCTATGCAGGACGCTCCGGCTACCGGGGAAGGAAGTAAAGGCGTAACGTTCAATTCTAGGAACGTTGGTACAGAAAGGGCCAGAACCAAACAAATTTGGGTAAGAAAAGAAGGCCCGATTTGGATTGGAAAAAGGAAGAAGAGGTTGGACATGGAGCCCATCCAGGTTACTCAGAATAACGGGAATAAGGAAGTAAACAGTTTGGGTTCGGAAATCTGGGCTAAGCCCAATTCTCTAATATTATGTTATAAAGTCCTGCTTGAGATCCATCGGGGTACTTTCTTCATTCCTGAAATCCCGAGGAAGATTTTTTGGGCCGGGTTATGGAAATTTGTTAAGCCCGTTACAGGGAACAGGAAATCCGCTATCACTTCATCCGACGACGAATCCCTCAACACTTTTCTGCTCGGAAACAGGGAGACACCCTCTTCTCTTCAACAATCAATGACAGTGAGGGAGACTTTAGATTTCGAGGACTTTGCGGACTCGGAAAGAATCGAATCTTTGGAAGCCCAGTACCAGAAGGCCGTGGTCACCGATGGAGATTTTAGCGAGGTTCCAGAATCACCGCCAGATGCTATTATGGATCAAAATCCCATTTCCGATCTTATCATAGAACTTCCTTCCCCTTCATGCGTTTCGTTTGGATCAAACCGGGAGTGGGAGTCCAATGTTTTTCCGTTCAATAAGGAGAGTCTGGCGCAAGCGTGCATTTCGGTGGGGAGAATTCTTGATCTGGGTCATGTAGAAGGGTCAGATCGGGCGGAACAACAAATCTCTCAAACGGTGGAGGAAACACATCAAAGAAAGATCAAGAGTTCCCGCTCGAAGCTTGAAAGGGAATCTATTCGTTTGGGTCCAGCGATGTCTCCCCCGAAGGGCCCGAGGAAATGCAAGAAAGGGAGAGGTGGGTATGTCTCTTGAACTTGTTTTATGGATACCAATATTTGCATTTGGAATGTGAGGGGTCTCGGCGATCCGGATAAAAGATGCAGAATCAAGAGGTTGATTGGTCGTCACAAGCCGAAAATTGTTGGTCTGGTGGAAACGAAGTGGTCTCAATGCAACGAGATCTTGATTGGCAGTCTATGCAACAGGAAGGAAGTTGATTGGGCGGTCAAAAATGCAGTCGGAAGTTCTGGGGGTATAGCTGCTTTCTGGGACAAGGCCTTCTTCTCGAAACTGTCTTGTGTGGAGGGTTCTCATTTCTTGGCTATAGAACTTATGGAAATATCTTATTCGAAATCTTGGCACTTCGTCTTCGTTTACGGCCCACAGGACAGGAGTGACAAGCTGGTTTTTCTTGATGAACTTAACAGATTCTGTAATCAGCACTCCGGAGCAGTTTGCATCGCAGGGGATTTTAACATGGTTAGGAACCACGAAGAGTATATTGGGGGGAGGAGAAGCTCTGAAATTATGAACGCTTTCAACGCATTCATCGACACCAACAGCCTTCTGGAACTTCCTCTCTGTGGAAGTAAGTTCACTTGGAGACACGGGGAAAATAGAGATTCCATGTCTAGAATTGATAGAGTGTTGATTTCTCACGACTTTGATACTTTATACCCTGATTGCACTCTTACTGCTTTGAATAGAGTCGAATCTGACCATAATTTGCTTCTGTTGAGATGGGGTGAGGATAAGAAAATCAAGAGGCCCTGGCGATTTCAAAATATGTGGTTAGAAGATCCTCGTTTCTTCCTGGAATTGAGTAATTGGACGGCTGAAAGGATGCAGGGGTCGGGAGATGTCTTTCTTCTCGCTAGGAGGCTATTGTTTATTAAAACCAAAGCCAAGGTCTGGAATAAAGAAGTATTTGGGAATATCGATAAGAGAGTGGAAGAGCTGGGTGCTGAGATTATGGGAATTGATACTAGCGAAGAAGAGCGCATTCTATCATCCGATGAGAAAGAGAGAAGAACCGGGTTGGCTCTAGAACTCAGTAGGAGTCTATTACTCCAAGAAATCTGTTGGCGCCAAAAATCCAGGGAAGTGTGGATTAAGTTGGGTGAAAGAAACAGTGGCTACTTTCATAAAATGGCCAACTATAGGAGAAGGGTTAATTTCATTGATAGAATCAGTATCAGTGGGCGAATGTTGGACAAGAAGGAAGAGATTGAGGAAGGTATGGTTAGTTTCTATCAAAATCTATTTCAAGAAAGCATTACCCATCGTCCATTCCCAAATCAGATTATGATCCAGTGCCTGTCCAATACAGAGAGGTGTATGCTCGATAGTCCGTTCACTGAACAGGAAATCTGGTTGGGATTACGTGATATGGATGGAAGTAAAGCTCCCGGTCCAGATGGTTTTACGTTGGAGTTCTATAAGAAATGTTGGCAATGGATAAAAGGAGATATTCTGAAGGCGTTCCAAGAATTTCACACATCTGGATTCTTGCCTGATTGCGTCACACATTCTTTCGTTTGTTTAGCTCCTAAGAAAGATACCATCGAGGATATAAAAGACCTAAGGCCTATAAACTTGATCGGGAGCATTAATAAGTTGATCAGCAAGGTTCTCTCGAAAAGATTCAGCTTAGTTCTGCCGAATCTTATCTCCCAACAGCAACTCTCATCAGTCAAGGGGAGGCAGATTACGGAGGCGGGTCTTATCGCTAATGAGCTGGTTGATAGCAGAAAGAAGAGCAGGAAGGCTGGCCTCATATTTAAGCTTGATATTGAGAAGGCCTTCGACAATGTGAACTGGGAATGTTTATTCAAGATTCTTTCTGGTCTGGGTTTTTCGGAGAAATGGAAGAGTTGGGTAAAGGGATCCATGTGCTCTTCTATGATTTCTGTTTTGGTTAACGGCGAGGCGAAAGGGTATTTCAGAGCTTCTAAAGGTCTTCGTCAGGGCGATCCCCTCTCACCGGGCTTATTCGTTCTAGTTATGGATGTCTTGTCAATGATGCTGAAAGCAGTAAGAGAGGCTGGTAAATTTGAAGGATTTTATATGAACGAAGACTCAAAAAACGGCGAAGTTACCCACCTCCTGTTCGCTGACGACACTGTGATATTTTGCGACGCCAATCACGATCAGGTTCTGAATATTCTGGCTACTATAGTGTGTTTTCAGTCCGTGACCGGTTTAAGGGTTAATCTTGACAAGTCGGTGATGTATACTGTCGGCGACGTGGCTGATCCTAGTTTCTACGCTGCCATTTTTGGGTGCAAATGGAGCCGTGATCCGGCGAAGTACCTCGGCTTCCCCCTTGGAGCCAAACCGAACGATCCGGTAATTTGGGACCCCATGATTGACAAAATGAAGAATAAACTTAACGGCTGGGGGAGCAGACATTTATCTTATGGAGCTAGGCTCGTCTTGTGCACTGCGGTTCTGGGGAGCATGCCGACGTACATGTTTTCCCTATTCAAGGCTCCTGTTTCGGTTATTCAGGATTTGGAAAGAACCCAAAGGAGGTTCTTATGGAATGGTGGGCGCGACATCAATAAGAAGGCCCTCGTGGAATGGAAACTCTGCAAAACCGAGAAAAGCAAGGGTGGGCTGGGGATCCATGACTTGAAAGCTTTCAATGATGCAATGTTGTCCAAGTGGCTGTGGCGGTTTGCCACGGAGAGAGATAGTTGGTGGCGTAAGCTTATAGATATCAAGTATCACAATCCCTCATCGGTTTGGCAAACGGAAAAGGTTAGAAGGGGTTTTTCACAATCGGTGTGGGCAAACATAACTAAAGAACATGAACTATTTTGGAAGTTCGCAAGTATAGACCCGGGAAATGGAACTATGATCTCCTTTTGGCACGACGTTTGGAATCAGGGGATGGTGCTGTCTTCTGCATTCCCCCGCGTTGCTGCTGCCGTTGTCGACTCCGAAGCAAGACTCTCCGATGTAGCATCCCTCAATGGTGAGTTGGTGAGTTGGTCTTTCAATCTTAAATATAATCTGAGGGGGGGTGCTGAAAGGGAAAGGGTAGAATTGTTGAATTTTCTTAATAATATCCCCATGAACAATAATGCTCTTAGTCCTTGCAGAATAGTTTGGAATCCTGATCCCAACAGCAAGTTCTCGGTGAGCTCGTTGTACAGGATGCTTGTGCAGGAAACGTTGCCAGGAGTGATTGATTTTCCATCGAAACAAATCTGGAAGAAACTGATTCCTAGTAAAGTGTGCTTTTTTATGTGGTTGGTTTATCATAACAAATTAATCACTGTTGACAGCTTGAAGAAGAGAGGGTGGTCGATGGCAAATAGATGTTGTCTCTGTTGTAAAAATGAAGAGAACATTAATCACTTATTGGTGGAGTGTGAGTTCGTGAAGGAAGTATGGAGAATTATCAACAGGGGTAGATTGGTGTTGTCCTACCAAGACAGGGAGGTGAAACTCATAATCAAGCACAGCCCTCATTCCAAGCCGGGAAACGTAGGGGATTGGTTTACTTACTGTATCCTACATGCAGTTTGGTGGTTTGTGTGGTTGGAAAGGAATCAACGTGTGTTCGAAGAGAAGAAGTCGACTGCTATCGGGGTGGCTAGAAGAGCAGCGAGGAACGCGATGGAATGGCTGGTGTCCCATGGTCACATTGATAAAACTCAGGGGTTGACCTGGTTACAGGAGAGTTTATTGATCGGCTGATCTTTGGCAACGAGGCCGGACTTTGAGTTGTTGCAGGTCGGTTGGTTCTGGTTTTTGCCGCTTTACTCCTTCGAACTTGCTGGAATGGTCAACGGCGTATGGCAGGATAGATTCAGAGGCTGGAGCCAGGCGTTGCTGCTGTTCTGCTGTGCTGCTGTCCCTTGGTCACATTATTAAAACTCAGGGACTGAATTGGCTGCAGGAGAGTTAGACTGGTTGATCTGTGGCGGCGAGGCCGGACTTGGAGTTGTTGCTGGTCGTTTTGTTCAGATTGCTGCCGCTATGCTCTTTCGATCTTGCTGGTTTGGGCAACGGCGTTTGGCATGTTTGTCTCAGAGGCTGGAGGCAGAGTCTTTTGGCGTTTTGTTGCTGATGTTCTGCTGTGCTGCTTCCCTTCCTTTGTTTTGTCTGGCAGGGATGGTTTGGCCCATCTAGCCAGTTTTTTGTCTTTGTGGCTGTTCGCTGCTATTTTTCGGTTTTGTTCTTGTTCGCAGCTTGGTTCAATTCTCTTGAGCTTTAGCTGCTTTTCTCGAGTGTAACTCTTTTTCGTCTTCTTAATATATTCTTTCACCATTATCAAAAAGAAGCGACAAACAAAGCTCTAGTGTGAAGGACGTGTTCATACACCGTGAGGTGGGTGCAACTAGCTAGAGACAAACTCTCTTAGTCGATCAATGAAAGAAAATCAACAAATATAAGCTAGGAGAACTAGCTCTCTTAACCGTTAGGTTAAGGATTGTGATTTATAGGTAGGGAACCTAACCCTCTTCACCGATCAACCAAGGAGATCCCTAACTCTCGTTGTTATTTAGTTCGTTAGTACTGTTTTATTGCTTTCTTCTTATGTAAGTACCCACTAGGGTTTCCGCAAACTTAATTAATGAAACAAAGTTCCATCCATTCCCTTCTCTTAGCTAAAAAATTAAATTACGGTGTATTAGTTTGTATCATATCATTTTGGAGTGACTGTTGGTTTCCAAATACTATCCTGGCAAATTCTTTTCCACAAATGTATGTAGCTGCTATCACTAAAGTCCAACACTCTAATTAAAGTCGTTACTACTCGGCATAATGATCAATTAGAGTGGAAACCTGAATTCCTTTACGATTTCAAAGGAATCATGATCAAATAACTGCTGCGTGTAGGCACATATATATGAAATAGTGGCGATCGCGGGATTCTGGAAAAGATGAATACTGAGGGCAAGTAGCTAGGAGTGATCTTCTCCTAGGTCTGTATTCTATGCAATAGCCAAGACATGCAACATTGAACTTTATTACTTCGTGGCCTTAGGGTGCTCCCACACTTTCCTCACTGATTACTAGCTACTTGTCCCCAGCATATGAAGTACCCTCAACAGAGCCCTGATTTAGAGGATTTTATTCTTAAGCCCAAGATCCTGGGATACTCACCTGATCACAAAAGGAAACATTTCTTCTCATCCGTATGTATTCCTTAACTCAAGCAATGATGCTAATTAAGCTAGCCGTTATGTATGTGTCTGATTACGTACACAAACAGTATTCCAACTCTTAGAACCCTAGCTAGCCCCCTTTTTCTTTAGGCAATGCTAACCTCTCCCCAGAAACCTTTGATTTTTCTTCTCAAAGCTCAAGGAGTATAAGAACTCTGAGCACGTACAACCTTTCAACTTTCTTTTTACTATATATTGTGCCTGGTAACTTAAAAATACGTACCCAGTGTAATGCTTGCTAGTACAGAGATAACCAACTGGAACTTGCCTGCATAGGTGATCATTAGCTTGTCTTTCCAGTCCTGAATTCTCTTTGTGATCTTTAATTTCTACCAGTGCTTTACAATCCTTTCTACTGATCGAATTACCACGTACATGACATTTGCAGCTGTAACGTAACTTTGTCCACTAAAAGGTAAAAGCCATCCCACAAGACTTACGATAGCCTTTCTACCCAATGCTATATCTATATCTATATGGGTCTTCATCAGATCTCGCTTTCCAGCTTACCTTGACACTACTAAAAAACAGACTTATACTGAGGGTTCTATACCAAGGGTTTAGTAAACCCTTTCTAGCTTTTTTGAAACTTACTCTTGCACCGGTTTGTTGCAAGGGTTCATGAACCCCTGTTATAGACATAATATAATTAGTTAATACACAATCCAGAGACCCCACAGTTTCGTTTCCCAGTCCAGAAACCCCCTTTTTGGTTTCGTTCTTTCCAGCTCAATTTCATTCTCTTTTTTCTAAATCAGTAAGACAGGGTAAACGAATTCAAAATCATTTCATAAGATTTTCTGATCTCTCTCTCGATCCGGTGGGTTTTTCGCAATCACTCGGCGTGATTCTACGATCGCTCTCTCTCGCGATCTCGATCTGGAGGATTTTCTCGAGAAATCACTTCGGCGCGGTTCTCCGATCGCACTTTCTTGTTCCGACGCGATTCTCCCGTCTCTCTCTCGTTTCGATGCGATTTTTCGATCTCTTTCGTTCTGGCTGATAAGGTTATCTCTCTCGCATGCGCTCTTCTCCGACGATCAGTAGCTTTCTATTCTTATCTTTTTGCGCGCTCTCATTAGCTTCTATATCTCTTGTCATTTAGTCATGTTTTAGGGTTTTGTTGTGAATAGGACATTCAATCTTCAGGGGAAAGGGATGTTGGTTTCAAATGATGACCTTTGTTGTCCTTATTCTGGCTGAATCATTCTTTACAGAGCTAAATATTTTCCAATAGAAATCTGTATATGCACAAGTTGTTTATCTAGTTGGAACTTGGAACTTTGTAGATTAATCTATCATTACCTGCATTAGGAGACTGTCATCTTTTATTGGTTCTTCCTTGTGGTCTTTCGTTGGTTTGATGGGCAAACCTTCACATTCGCTTCATTCATGGGGATGTCAATTTTTGGGTCTTTTCTTCTTTGTCAACTAACTGCTACTTTTCAATGAATGTCATTTGAGTCCCATTTATAAGCACGCAGCTTTAAAACTTTGGTATACAGAGAGCCATAGTTGAATTTGTCCATTGCTGTATGAACTTAAAGTTAGCAGCACAGCCCTAACAAAGTTCACCAGTGCACGTTGATCATTCTAGCTTAGCTGATTCACCCTTATACCATCGCTACCTTGATCATTCTCTTGTCTGAACACCAAACAGCACTGCCCTAACAATCTAATCACTTATTTGTGCTTTGGACCAACACTATAAGAGCTGAGCTATGTGTTATCGAAGTAAAATGTTGTGCATGTGCTTTTTGTGTAAAGCTTAGATATGGAGATTGAGCTGCTTGCATAAGATTTTCCTTGGGTTACAAAACAGAGCATTACCGACTTGCATGCTATTTGATCTGATAAGAGTTGGGCTTTGTTCGCAGGATTGGTTAGGCCACTCTTTGCTACAATTGGAACCAGACTCCTCCAATAATAAAGGTGAAAAGTTGCATATCCTCTCTATTTTTGCCGTTAAATATGTTTTCGAGGTATATTAATTAGCTGATATAATATATTATGCTTTCCCCCTATAGTTCTGATGGGAATTGGGAAGCTCTTCAAACTTTTTCAGCAATCAAATCTGGGTTACATTTTCCATTGAATTGGGAAGTTCCAATTTAGATTGGGTTGTACTTGATGGTTATTTGGTTGCTCAACAAGTAGCATTGCTTGGCATTCTGGTATCATTCCAAGTACTATGATTTGCTCGTATCATAATGAGTAACATTTTAAGTAAATATTTTTGTAGGTACATCTAAACTTGATGGATCCACCTCCTGATAGTTATTTTGGCAACAGCCAAGCATGCAGACACTGGTATATCATACTTGATAGCTGATTCTTAACGTGTTGAAGAGTTCCCCGATGATATTGATGGTCCTGAGAGCTGGGGTTTTGCTGTCTAATTTTCAGGGACCACTCAATTCAATGCCCTCGAACAATGATGGATTTTTTTACCGGGCACAGTCTGGGATAATCCTAAACTATCTCTAGATTTTTCACCGTCTGGCTTCCTTCAATACATAGGTACATATAACTCAGATTTAATTAGTGGTCACCACTGTGTTATTATTGAATCAGACTTGAGGCTTGCTATTGAGTTAATTGACCAGAATGAATCCTCTTCCTAATTTCAGAGAGGTTGAGGCTGAAATTAACTTCAGCACAGGGATTGCGGGAAGCAAGTCTACATGGATAAGTTCTTTAAAGCTGTATAGTTAAATCTGGAAGAGGAATGGTGTTTAGTTCTTACTGATGAAAGTGGGTGTTATTATGTAGGGGGATTTGACACAACACATGCAGCTGCTCGGTGAGATTCTTCTCTTCCTCTCCTTTTCAATTTTATTTCTCTAGCATAGGGTGGTCACTTTCTTGGCAAACCTTGGAACATTCTTCTTCATATATAACATCTGATCACCGAGTAGATGAAAGCATCAACAGGGGGTTTTATTTGTTGTTTGCTGCAGTGCATATGATAAAGTGGCGATCAAGTTCATAGGGTGGAGGCTGACCTCAAACAGGTACATACAGCTAGCTAGAGAGATAGGGGAGGATATTGTTACTTTTGAGAATGTTTCAAACTCTTTTGACTATCCTAGTTGTGTACTCAGCAGCTGGTACTTGGTTTTCTCAGCATTTTCTCATTTAGGTTGTATCCATTTTCCTCTGCTTCTTTCTCAGGGATTCTAGAATGGCAGTCAACCCTTTATAGCTGTTGTGTTGCTGGTCAGAGTAATGGAAGATAATCCTGCTTGCTATTGGGTATATACTGAAATATACTTTTAATACTAGTAAAATCTATCAAGTAACTGAGTTTTATACGTTAAGTAACTGTACAGTAGGTTATTATTTGATTTTAATACTTTTAGTGCTCAATTCGATCTAGACACATTCTGTTGATTGGTGCTGGTGAGATGTGGGATGCCCAATCTTTGGCTCAAGCGGCATCTGGGAGATTTGACGAGCAAGGAAATAAAGAAGCTGGAGATCCAACCCGCCAAACTCTAGAATGGCCAACTAGTGCCCAAGTTG